CGCGCAAATTAGTACACACACACACACACACACACACACACACACACACACACACACACACACACACACACGCGCGCGCACGCGCACAGACACGCACACATGCACACCTGAATGGCTGTTAAGCACATCTCTGGTTCATCTCCTCCTCCAAGGGCCATCAAGTTCTCCATGTGCTCCATAAACTGGTTCGGGTCATCAGTCTCATACACCGGACCGACTTCTGCACACAGCAGTGACATGAATCTATGAATAGTTTGTTACCTTCATTACAGTTACTGTCATACTGGTTGTCTTCAGTAAATAGTTTTACAGTAGTATCCCACTAGATGGTGCTGTTGTTCGCCTGTGGAGCCAAGGCAATTTAGAAAACTCTTAAGGTCTTGGGGCCCGGCCCGGTCGTACAGAAGGACTAAATAAGTTACATTTCTTCAGTTTTATTCATTTTGGAATCTCTAATTGTGTTGTGGTCAAAAATGAAGTACTCCGTCTGGTTTTATGGATGAATCCTGTTGACAAACAAACAGCAGCCACAAAAACATAGCCTCTGTTGAGGACAGATGTAATAAATAATTGGTTTCCAGTGACATGAATAAGGATAAGAATATAGTAGAACTTTAAAAGTTGAACACAATCCTTTCTGTGACTCTAATTGACTTCCCCAATTTTGTCGAATTTTAAAACAAATTTCCCTTTGGATATGATGTCCTCTACATAATTATGATTTGCCACTTTACCTATATTCACATGTGTTTTTAAGGAGCTATTTTTTTATGATTCCCTTTTTATTGGTAAGGCCAAAGGGCAGACGGATAACATTTTTACATAATTTTGTTTGAATTTTTAAACCACTTTTGGGCCACATGAAAAGAAAGGTACAAAACAACTATGGGCATTATCCTTGCGGTGCTTCCTCACCGGGGTCATGGAAGGGTACCAGCAAGAAGCTTCCAGGTCGGCCAGAAAGGTCTGCTCGGTTCTGAATGATGGAGTAAGCCCGCATTCGAGCCGCTGTGATTTCCTCAAACATGCTCCCTGTGGTGTCAATGACAAAAACCAGAGCGGGTGCCTGCTTCACGCTAAAAAGCCTGTGGAGGTTGTAGGAAGCTTGATTAAAAAAATAAAATAAAATCAAGAAGGATTTCATGGACTTTATTTAGCTTAAGAGACAAGAGATTTTTTTTCCTCTCACATTGACTTTTTAGTTTTTGATCAAAATCAACATTCAAAACCTTTGCAGTAAACAGATGAAAGTACCTGTATATTCAAGCGCAGTTGCGAAATATTTATTACTAGTTCTCACCATTGATTATTTACCCGGCATGGTTTTGTATTATATTTCTGTATTCCCACCTGAGAAAGGTCTTGTGCCCCACTGTGTCCCTGAGATCTCTCAGTACAGTCAGAGTATCTTCGGAGGCCAGCTTGGCTGCTTCCGCGTGGAGGTAATGATGAGGGGAGAAGAGAGGTGATGTGCTGTCTTTGTTAATGCCCCCTTTGGCCCCCATAGTGCGGCTACTGTCCAGCATACCTCCGTGACTGCATTTGCCTGACCAACAAGTTGCATGTTTGTGTTTCTCCTAAAAAAAACAACCTTTTTCATACCCATACTAATCAAGGCGTGCGGGCTCATCACGTAGTCTTTGGGGACTACCTGGTACCCGCAGGCACCACATTGGTAACCCCTCCAAGATAATCTAATTTGTAACAGAGCAACATTGTTGTTGTTCAGATGGTTAAAGGAGGTGAAAATCCATGTTTAGTACTTTTTGGGTACCAAAAAAATATATATCTGTTTTACTTTTACTTGCATACCTTTAGGTTTTGGAGGGAATGTGCTGAAGTAGCCAGTTGTGAGCAGCTGTGAGTCCCTCTGTGTACTTGTCAATCTTGGAAGGAGGTTATTTCGACAGGTGGCGCTAAAGCACTCCATGCAGGTGGGTGTGTCACCTGTGGAGAAGACACAAAAGGACCAACAAGGGATTGTTTTCCTATGCTTGCCACCAGTCACTTTTCATGCATGCAGTTCTCTGAGGGGCTTTGAATGTACAAGGAAATGATGAAACTGTACAAATGCTCATTGTTATGAAAGTTTTTCTGACTTTTTTTACACAATTGTTTGGATTGCAAACACTCGGGCCAGTCCGGTGGGCCAGTGGTTAGAGCATCGACCTCAGAGTGGAGGGGACGTGCGTTCGA